CCAACACCTAAAATCTACACATTACTTCAAAGAACCCTGGCCCCTGGCATAGAGAAGGATACATCTGAGTCTTTAAGAAAAAGGATGCACTTTGAGACCTTAATGTTAGATGAAATAAATCAGATGCCCAAGCTTCAGTATTGCGTGGTTTCTTCTACACGAGAAACCCTAAGTATAATAAGTTAAAGAGCAAAATAAAAGAGAGATGACTAGAAATAGGGAGGGAGATGGAGGGAAGGGAGGGGAGAACAGGAAATAAAAAGAATTAACAGGTGTCACTTACAGGTACCAACTCTCCCTGATGAATGTAATAGTTGTATATTGCAAACACGCACTAATAAAAATGTTTAAAAAAGGATGACTCGGCACATTGGACCCTACTCATCTCACATCCTCATGCAGAGGTTTTAGGGAAGCACTAAAGATTCTGTAGGATGATCAAGAAAGAAGGGAAGATCACCACAGACAGTTACAAGAATGTAGTTAATAATGACAGAAAATGACGACAAAGGGGCGCGACAGACTGCTGTGGCCGGGCTTCTTTGGGCTCACCGACGTTTCTACCTACAAGCAATACCAGACATCATGCTGAAGCTTCAGTGGGAGGAATAGAGAAGTTTTAAAATGTTGGAAATATGAACAGGCCCAGGCAAAGTTTCTGCTCCCGAGGGCTGAGGCCCCGAATGCTGTGCGCCTGAGACTGCGAGTGCTGGACAGGGCCCAGTCACAGGAACCTGGAGCGCATACTCGGGTCTTATCGGGGCTTCCCTGACAAATGAGGGAGGCGGCCCCTTTCTGTCCTCCTTCCATGTAGCCTGGACTTATTCGGTAGGGTGGGAGAAGAGGTCAGGGTTCTGTCAGATGGAGAAGAAAATAAAGAAACCTCCAAAATATAAACACAAAAAGTTGAAGAAAGGAACAAAAATTAATTTGCATCCTCTTATTTATGTCAAAAAACTTTCCAAATTAATATACTGCATATGACAGACTGAAATGAATTTCACTTACGTTATACACCAAAGCTACAAAATATATTTATATGTGTGTACATGTACCCATTAGTAGACTTGTGGCTCTGCCGTGAGAAGCTTACCATTGGTAATTACTAACAGACTTTTTTAGGTTTTCTTCCAGACTTTTAAGCCACCTCATGGAGAACTCTACAATTTTTTTCATATATAAGCTCAGAATATATAACCAATATGTGGAAAATAAATATAATCTATGGGATATGTATCCTCCCATTCATAAGTATAATTAACTTTGTAGAAAACGTTTACCCAATATTCTCTCACAAAATCCCTCCTCCCCTGACATCTGTGTTAAAACAAATGGCATCTTCCCTGGTAGGGCTTCTTGTTTTCTTTAGATTCAAAAAGAAAAATAAAGTAGATATCTTACATCAATATCAACAAAATATGATCCGTGAGGTATGAGGAGAGATTGTTTATATTTAGCAAAGAATAAAATAAACTTTTAAAATAAAAAAAAAATATTAGATGTGGTGGTACACAACTATAATTCCAGCACTCTGAGAGGCTGGAGAAGGAGGACAGCAAACCTAAGCCCAGCCTGGGCAACCTGACAATTTAGCAAGGCCCTGTTTCCAAATAAAAAATAAAGGGCTGAAGATGTAGCTTAATGCAAGGCCCTGGGTAGCACAATCCTCAGAACCAGGAAAAAATAAAAATAAAAGCAACATATCTGTCCAACTCAACATTAAGAGAACAAAAATCACAGTTATGTTGTGAGCCCAAGAGAGCATCTATTCCTTAAGATCTTATTAAACTAATAAGTTCCAGTCAGCCCAAAATATATTTCAGTGCTGTGTGTAGTTTTCAGATAACTAACTGCATCTGTGGGTACAGCATTGGTAGCATTCTTCTACGGCAGGTTATTTACCCTCTTGTTATCAATTTTGATATGTGTTCAAAGTAAATGATTCATTGTCTCTGACTCCTATCATCAGAACCACCAGTCGCCCAGCTCTGACTTGAATGAAAACAAGGATACAGGAGTGAAAATGGTCTGAAGGGCAGGTGAAGGTTCAGGATCTCTGGGCACATTGGTCCATTCTGAGGAATCACTGCTTTGGGGAAGCGAGGGATCCCATCGCTCATAAAATTTGATGATATTAAGAAGAGGGGAGGAATTCACATGTGAGCTGTCAGGGTCACTGTAAGAAATACAGCTTTAAAAATTCAGGAGTAAGAAAAAAGTACTATATTTAAAAATGAATTGCTAATGTTTTTTTCTTTTAAAAGTACTGGGGAAAATCCATATCATACTGGTATTCATTACTTATTCAATGTTCACCATCGGGAGATAAATAGAACTGTTAGAATACAAAAATGCCATGGGTAATTCAGCAACTGCAGCGTAAGTGTGGCATAACTGATTTGTCATGACATACAATTTTCTAAAAGCTATTCTGTTAGAAGGCAATAAATGAGTGCATAAATGATTTACACTCTTTTGAACCATAGTTATTATTCAGTATTTTATTTTTAAAAATATATACACCCTATACTATTATGTTTATTCTCTAGAGTATAATAAAAACATAATTGAATTTGATGAAAAATAGACTTGATTCTAAATGCAGCATATAGCCTGTACAGCTATTCCCTTATTTTATCCCTCACGAAGATCAATGGTCACTTGAGGTGGTTCTGCTCTAGGTTCATTTTAATATATGGGCAATAAAATATTTTTTAATTTTAAAATTATATACTTATATTCTGTACTGTATATTCTTTTTAATATTAACATCTAAGTTTCAATCCAAATAACAATTTATGAATGCAAAATACAATTATTTTAATCACTGTTTTGCTTTTAAATACTATTTTTTATTGACCAAGTAGGGCAGGAAATTAAGTACAGAGGGTACAGCAAATAAAAATGAAGCAATATATAAAAATGTTATCAGTTGAGTAACTTGCTTTGTTTTGATGGAGCCTAAATGCCATTGTAAAGGGAGTTTATCATCTGAAAAATATTTCAAATTTTAAAATTTCCAATAAATATAATCACCATCTCCAAAATTTAGATAAACAGTTAATCTATTTAAGTAAATACTATTTTGACTTGCAAATTTCTTTGTTAAAAACTGTATCATGGCATGTCATTTATAAATATATAAAATAAAAATTACATAAATATACACTAAGGTTTATATAGTTATATGTAATATCTAATATACACTCTCACCAGTATGGTTTAGTTATATACAGATGCTGTCTTTAAATAAATAAATATAATGTATGTATAATGGCAAATGTACAAATAAATTTAAATCTCTTTGTTGAAATTAAGGAAATTTTTTTTCCTTTCTCTCCTTTTCCTTCTATCATTTGCCTTAGAAAATTAATTGTAAGTATTTTTGTTCTATTTCACATGTATTCCTTGGAAGACTACGTATGACTTTTTTCAGCTTCATGACCTCAGGAACCTGAAAAATCCATTGCTGCAACACAAGTATCAAGGGAAATAGTTCTCCCATCCCCCAGTTCTGTGGGACAGATAAAAGCCTAACTTCAGTGGGCCCTTTGCCCCACTCTGCAAAACTACTTCCTGTCATAAAGACACCAGAAGTTTATTCTGCTCAGAACAAATCCTCCTAGCTAACACAGGTGGTCTCACTAACTGCTATGGTAAAGTTAGGATAAGCTGTGTGTGACAAATGTGTGACAAAGTGTGTTGTTAAGTCTTCCTCCTTGAGGGTTAGTGACTGCTCACCTTGTTAACATGTATGTAATGGATCATGTCTATTTGGCTCTCTCTCTATAGGATGGTGAGGCCCCTTTCAGTCTTGGTAATTCTCTTAGTGAGTTGTCTGTGATGCACTTCATATACTGGTTCAGTACTTAATGACAAAATGTTGTCTTTGTCTACTTATTTCATGGAGAGGATTTCTGAGAAAGGATATTTTGTTTTTTAGTATAAGCCCCCCACAATATGCTAACTTGTGAATTCATTTATGCTATTGTTATGATGATGAAAGGTTGCTTTAGGAAAGCAAGAAGAAAAATTCCATAGGAACATTTCATTTGCTTCACTCACTTGGTTTGAACCAAATGAACTATATCTTAAATTTTTAAAAAGGAAATGCGATGTATCATTGCACAGTAGAAATTTCTACTATGATTTGCACATTTGTAACCCACAACTGATGAACTAGAACCTTTGACCAAAAGGATTCAAAGAGGTGAATTACCTTATTGTAGGCTACTCATATACAAATAAAGACAAAGTCCTTTCTATAAAAGAATATGTTTTAGTGGGAAACTGTGTTGTTGTCCCCATTACCCCAGTATTGGGTAACACTACTTTTTTGGGTAGGTGAGGAAGTCTATAATCTGGTATAGGATCTCTCCAAGGAGTCCCTACCCTTTCTTTAAGTAAGAAGAGGACTAAAAAATGACAAATATTTTGAAAAATAATTTATATTTTATACGGTCTTTTAATAACTTAATTTCACATTTTCAATTTCTCTGCTTACCCTTTAAGTGAGAATGCTTAACTCTAAACACATTAACAAAAATACAAAACATTAATATTTCAAGCTCCAAGAAACCATTAATAGTGATTTAATAAACTAATTTGCCTTTTTGAAAATAGTGACTTTATTTTCTGGTCTTAATAAAGTACTAATCAGATAAAAATAGTGTGACATTCTAAGGAGAGTCAAACCAGTATTTTTCTGTAAAGTTAATGATAATTAAAACCTAATGTTACCTAAGAGCAGGAAACACTAAAACCAAGACTGGGTTAATTTTATGTAAATAAAACATGAAAACAACTTGTTTTTTAAAATTTGACAATATTTACCTGGTAGCATTTTGTTTGATCTGTTCATCAATGTCACTGAAGATCTGCTTAAACTCCAAGTCTCCAGGAAATGAATTTAACAAACATTGTAGATCAAAAGAAGTATGGGAATATTTATCTACACAATCCATGCTGAGGAACCAAGAATAAATAATAAGACATGTTAGTTACTCTAAAATGGGGAGGGAAAAAGAGAAACCCACCTCAAGTTGTTGTACTAGACCAAAAACAGTAACTTCTATTTATAGACAAAACGAAATATAGGAATGGGTGGAGCTAAGATTGTAAGGTACCGTGTTTGGGAATTTACATTCATGACTGCATTTTCACACTCGCATGTAGTTTGAAAGCTGAAGCACACACCAGTCCACAGAGACTGCTTACATCTGGCTGCTTCTCACTGTAACCAAGACCGTGGAGGAAATCTGAAGGCCCAGAGACCTCCATAAAGAGGGTGAGGGCAGCCAGACTTCAACACTTCCTTGTCAATACTCTCACCTGGAAATTGCAGCCTCATGCTGTGAAAAGCCTCACCTTCCCAGAGTATTTATTTATAAAGAAGGCAACATTCCCCTGGAGTTCCTCTGGCATCCCTGAGCAGTGAAGGGTATGTCACTCCTTAGGGCACCAGCATGTTGCCAGTACCAAAGCCTTGAGCATTCATTCACTCATTCTTGTATAATTTACTGTTTTATGGGCAGCAGGCACTGCTGTCGGGGCTTGACACAATTGCAGAGTTAAAGCCATCCTCACCTTTATGAAGTTTTTACTCTGGTAGGGAGGACAGATTTTAAAAATGCATAAATGGATACATTTTGTAAAAGAGCACAGGAGGACAAGTGCAGCAGAGCAAAAGGCTACACTAAAAGTGGGAGCTGTGGCAGAGTATAAAGTGAAGAAGCTGAGGAAGAAGACATAGGTGGGAAAATGCGCTTCATTACTTGGGCCAAAGCCTGGACCCCAAGGTGTTGAAGAAATGCTGTCACTAGCTGGGCAGCTGACTCCAGGAAGACTGTATACTATGGATAGTGTTTGCATTTAGATCTTAATTAAATTCTTCCAGTGCCCAAATGCAAGTTATCTCGGGTATTTTGTCCCAGCAGTGGAAAGCTAACACTGATGGAGATCATAATCTTTGACTGGAACCTTGCCTTTCTGTCATTATCGTTCACTTCCTTTCTTCTCTTTCATGTTATTGATTTGCTTCAAGGGTCTGAATGATTCCTGGTTGTCTGTTCTTATTTACCAGCAAAAGACTAGGTTGATACTTATCGGTAGCTAGTGTTGGGGTGCAGAAAACCCCAGAGTATAGTGCTTGGTACACTGAGCTCTTTGAATTAAAGGATCTGGGCAGGCCTTAGAAGTTGCTCAGAATCACGGTCTCTGACCTTCCTCTATTTTTCTCCACTCAAGAGAGGAGCTTTTTTTCTTCAGGTTTTATTTTCATTAGCACATACAAATTACTTTCATCGTGGGGAATTGTTACCTATAACACATCTTAATTCTTTTTATGTAGGAAGGGGCTTTTTCTGAAGTTCCGTTATCTGACTGAAGAATGCTCTTCCAAAAGAAATACTGTACAACTATCTTGGACCTCCTTTCTGATATCTCATTAATCAGTGAAGATTAATCTCATATTTCTAGGAAAGAAAAGTGAAGAATGTCACACCTACCTACACAGACTTTGCTGTAAGTGATGGTCTTCAGTCCTACCTAGCTTCCAAAGATGATCATTTACAAACTATTTTCTGTAGTTGGGTCCCACTAGTTTCCTCTAAAAATCATTTACTATCCCTCAAACTTGCCAAATTCGCCCATCTCCTTCTGCACTGCCAAGAGTGTATGAGGTTCTGAACCTCATCAATTTGCTGGGTACTAACCTTCATGTGAGGTCCACAGGCCACCTTAATAAAGTTGTGGGGGTTTTTTCCCCTTTGGGTAAACTGTGTATCTCCAGTTTCTTTCAGCAAAGTCAGACTTAAACTTTCAGATGGGGAGGGAAAAATTCCCTTCACTCCTACATTAGCAAGAGTTTTCTCTATCATTACAAAGATTGATTTACCCAAAAAGTCTTGCCCTCCTGGGCAGTAAGGTTTTGATTCAGACACTATGAATGGATGACATCTATGGCCACGTTTCTCTTGAGGATTTTCAAGCAGAGGAAGAATATAGCTGATGATGTGCACAAATGACCCAGTGAACATTATACCTACAGTGGAGTAACTAGCTTTTTTCAGCCAGTGTTTGATCTGCTTCTTTATTCTCTCCCAGGTCTTTTTGGAGGTCTAGAAGTAAGCTGTGTTCTCACACTCTGGTCAACACCCATTCTGTGTGCCCTAACCACCTAATTCTTAACTTTGTTTGGATTCTCAAAAGGTAATTGCTACACCATAAGGCAAGGTAGGTGCAGACCTAGGCAGCTCCTGGAGAGCATTTCTTTAGCTTCTTTGCTCCTTGATGGTTACCCTGAAGCTACTTCACTCTATTTTTTCCACAAAGTTGGTGTAATTCTAGAGCACGGCTCTTACTACTATAGCCACTTCCTCTTGCATAATGTAGAGTGTGGTTTTCATGCCTCCTGTGTCTTCACTGTTCTGAGCCTTTTTAACTTTCTATCTTCCAGGAATATTCCAATGGCACGTTGTACCTCTTTCAACACTGATTTTCTATATGTCCTTACACATTCCACTGGGATTTCAGTAAGGAGGAAAAGCAAATACGTGTCTTTAGTCCTTCACCTTCAGAATTTTGTATATTTCCATTTCCCATTCTAAGCCACGTGAAAAAAAATTATAAGATTTGACATTCAAAACTTAGGCTTTGTAAATAGGAGTGGGTCAAAGCAATATAGACTGCTCACTTGACAAATAAGTATTTTGAAATGATACTGCTGGCAAATTAAGTGTAACATTAAATAATATGAAGGCATAAGACCCAACTAGAAAACTTAGGCCAAGTTTGACCCTACAAGAAATTCTCATGAAATAGTGACAATCTGTTTACACCTAATACAATTTGCTTTTCTCTTCTACATGAAGCTGTATAATATATATATATATAGATAGATAGATAGATAGATAGATAGATAGATAGATAGATAGATAGTCTTTTCCTAGCAAAACATAGGCCCTCTCCAGAATACAAAAATAGGACAAAATTCTACAAATTAGCTCATTAGGACCTGTGGATTTGGCATTCAGTTTTGACAAGCAGTCATATGCTGAGAGCTGCTGAGTGGCATCTGGGCAGTCTGCGATTGAGGGGTAAGGGTTCCAGCCCAGGCTCTGCATCTCAGTTCTGCTTTTCAGCGCACATATTAACTTTCATTACAGTTGAAGGCTTTTTAGTCTCTCTCTCTCTCTCTCTCTCTCTCTCTCTCTCACACACACACACACACACACACACACATGCACAACTTCCAAAGACAACAGCAGACTATGACAGTGAAGGTGGTGATTTTTAGCTTTAAGATATTCCAGAGAAATTAATGACTAGATTGGCTAATAATTAAGAAAATATTAAAATATTATCTCTCACACTTCACTTTTACTTTTTCAAATCAACTTTGTTCATTCCATTCAGTTCTTTGAAACAAAAAGAACCTGGAATCCAACTCCAAAAGGAGAGGCAAACAACCCAATAACATTTATTTGGTGAGCCACTTTTAGAAGGAGCTACCCAATAACATTGCTATTTTACCCATGCTCTTATCCTTTCATATCTTAGAAGAAAGTTTGGCAATTAATCCTCTTCACTTGGCATTTCTAAAAGGCTACAGATCTAAGACAACATAGTACAGAAAACATATATTAACATATAAATTAGGAATTATATTCATTTAATAATGATGTTTAGTAATTCCGATAAATATCTTATTTATCACAAATACAACATTGTATTTGAAAATTCACTTTACCTAATAATAAAAGACATGAACTAAAGTAATAGTCCCTTCTATTGTATCTCTATCTTTCTCACAATCCTTGGAATAGAAGGAAAGAAGGAAGAAAAGAAAGAAGTCTTATGGCTTGTATTTAGAAGTCCTCCCAAAGCCTCATCGCTCACAGGTAGGACATTTCAGAGCTGGCTGGATCCAGGGCAGTGGTGGTGAACCTACAGAATGCCTCAGTAGCCTGTTGTCATTGAAAGCTCTAAAAGGTTTCCCATTGCTGATCAAAGGTGTATGATACCAGGATCAAAGGTGTGTGTCACTAAATTAGCCAGTGATTGCTTTAGCACAGTCCTGGGTGTGGATAACTGTCAGGCTACAAGCTCAGCTCGAACCTGACCAGGAGGAGACAATGATGAAAATAGACACAGAAACAAGTTAAAATCTCAGGGGCCAGGGGGCTTATGTCTTGCTTTGATATAGAGCCCCAAATGCCTGGCACACCTTGGTTTTATTCATTCATACATGGGAAGGAGCAATTAGAGTCACACAGGACTCATCTGTTTCCCACCCTCCACTGGACTTCTCCGGGTAAACAACTTAACCTCAGGTGTTTTCATCTGCCCTCGCAGGGTGTTAGCACGCTTGTTTGCCCTCTTTCTCCTCAGTGCTCGCCAGAGCGGCCAATTAGACGTCATTCTTCCCATCTGATCTCCACAGATAATGAAAGTCCCACCCTGGGTGTGGGTGGCACCAATCAGTAGGCTCACAGCCTGGATGAGGTATAAAGGGACACAGGGAAGACAAACTGTTGCTGTTTGCTATTTCGCTGTCTTCTGCCTGCCTCCCCCTCCAGGGGCTGTTGTTCCTCTTCTGTGATGCCCCTCGGCTGTGTCACCCTACAGTGGAGCCAGCCAGCTATGGATTTGAGCCTCTACAAACTGTGAGCCAAGATAAATCTTTTCTCCTTCAACTAGTGTAGGGTATTTTTGTTCCAGCAATGAGAAAAGTAACTGAGACAAGAAAGAGGAAAGGAAGGAAGAAAGGAAGGGAGGGAAAGAAGATGACATGGGATTAGCATAACACAATGGTGAGGAGACACTGGCTTGCTCCATGATGTATGTGTTTGTCTCCTTATGAAATGACGGATAACTAAATTGAAAGGGGAATTTTAGTTAAATTTTAATTACCCCATGTAACAGAAGGTACAAGTTACTCGTGGGGCAGGGTTCTCAACAGCACT